CACAGGTTCATAAAATCCGCCTATAGGTATACCTAAAAGCCCCAGTTAAGGGTACCAAGCAAACTCCATTTACCATAAACTAGAGCGCACGACAAAAGCAAAGAGGTATTTAATCAAAATATTTACCTATCTACTATAACACTAAAGGAGAATAAGGAAAGAGTATCTAGGTCTACCACTATGATCTATCGTTTTAGGTAATTAAATAAATGTAAACAATATGGGCATGTCTTTTTATATAAAAACTAGCTTTTGCCCGCGACTTCGTTCGTTTTGTTATAAAAACTATCCTATGTCCTTTCTCAAGTTTCAAACTATGTCTGTACAAAATTTCACAGACAGACAGAGTTACTTTCGAATTTATAATATTAGTTTGGATTTGCATTGTTTAAAAAATGTTTACAATCAGATATTTACCTAAATCGATGTTAGCTAATAAACTAAATTGGGACTATCATATTGTACGAAATAAATCAACCCCAAAAAGGATATTGGGACTGTTCTTAAGCCGCCTTTCTTTTTTCTTAAAATCCATAACACAAAACCACTCGTTTTGTCTTATTTGGAGTATCATGAAAGTCACAATTTAATTTTCGCCAGTTCCAAGTCCCAAATAACAGTTAAAATTGTCTATTGCAAACACTACAGACTTCCGAGAATATGCAGAAAAAAGGCGAAGGTTTCCGAACCCGAAACGTTTTCGGCTTTGTCTATTGTCCTTTATAACAATTGCTGGCTGAACTAAAAGTGTTTTTTTTTATTGTAAAGTGACGAAGTAAGCGTCATATTCCTTTGTGATGAATCGGTTTTAACAAACTCATCTATACTTTAGAAGATAATAGAAAACTTTAGCTGTATGTTTATAAGATCCTTTTTTGGACCTCAGGGAGACCCTTTGCCTGAGAAACAACCAGACTTCAAGACCTATTCTATTCCTATTGTTTAAAAAACCACCCTCTTGGTGTTCAATACTGCATTTTAGCGCGCGGTTGCAAGAAATAAATTCTTCTACACTCAAAGGAACCAGGAAGTACTTTGGCGCGAATGGGCCAGCTTGACTTGAAAGCTTCCGTAACGCTTTCCTTGTAATTTTTTTAGCAGTTAACAGGCGGATCAATTGGTGGTAAGTGATCAGCGCCGCCCATGGACACCTGCAGCACCAGAGGAGCCACAGGCACGTTGCCAGACTTTTAAGAAGGAGTTCGCTCGTTTCTTGATGATTTGAAGGACGTATCGGTTCGGAAATACCGCCGCCGGAAGATTTTAAAGTTTTGCTGTGCAGTGCAAAAATCAGAATTTCGCGAAAATCGCACAGCCGTGTCTGACCAATAACAATTTCTTATGCATTTTTCTGTGTGGAGCAGAAAAGCCATTCGTCCGACGTCGGAATCTGAACTACAAGTATCAATTACTAAGAATTACAATACAAACATAAACACAGTGCCATAAGGATACGTGGACACCACAAGGCGCCACATAATAAGATCCTTACATACTTCTTTGGCTTCCCCATACTCATACATGAATTCAAACTCGCTAATTACGGATCTAAGTACACACATATGTCATAAACAATTAAAATCCTGCCAAGAAGGAATAAGAATTGAGACTTAATTTATCAAACACCAAGCAAACGCCGGCGTTCGTGCACCTATTTTCCGCAAACAATCAAAGTGATTTCCTGATGGTAAGCTATCGGCGCCCAACATGAAGCTAAGGTTATATCCAACGAATTACTACAAGTTCCTTATCCGCTTTTTTCGGATTATTAGGTATTAACATAGGAGACTTGGGCAATGAGGATGAGACGGGGAGGTTTAGGTCTGCAGTAACGGTAAACAGTTGTTTCACGCCGGTATTCTGAGGCCGTGGTATCACTGGAGTCGAGCTAGCCCATGCGTCGAGAAGCTTGGCTCTCCCCCTGCCAAATATGGCAATAACCATTTTTCAGGATTAAATGAAGATAATAAAAAGTTTACAATGTGTTTCAAAACAGATTACTACTTTATCTGTAATGATAATAATTAACTGTCTGCATATTATATTTATCTATTGAATTAAAATGAACTACTAATAAATTTGTTTGCAGCGGAATGATGGTCGAGTTGAATAAATTTAAACCATCCCATTATTTGTGGGGGAAAATCATCGACTTTTTTCGTCCAAGTTAAGGCGAGAGGGACTGTCACACTTTTACTGACTCACAACCACTCCATTCCTTCTGCTGCTCTAGGCCGAGGCCGCGGTACCTTACTGCGCTTGCCTCGAAACCCTGCCTGATTTCCACTACCCCTTCTCTTCTCGCAGAGTCGTAAAAGCCGACTAACACCCGGTTTCTGAAAGGCTTGGCAACGCTAGAATTAACTAATCTCCTGTTAAATGTCTTGTTAAGTCATCTGATTGGTTGTCGATAATTCAGTCAACCAATCAGATGACTTGACAAGAGATTAAATTGATTTTAACATTGATCGGCCTTTGGAAACCGGGTGCAAGGGTTGACATTTGACAGACAGTCAGTAACAATGCATTCACAGTTTAGTAGTGGTTACAATAGCTTAAGTGTTACTACAGACTCTAGTTTATCTGTGACAAATTTCATTCAGATCTGTTTAGCAATTTTATGTGATAGAGTGACTAACATTCATCAATCCATACTAACAATCTTTTGCACTTATTAAAAGGTCATAACAAGTAAAACCAGGTGCACTTGTTAGTTAGACTTGTATCTATGAGGAAGTCTCTACATGATCTTGAAATGATAAAGATATACCTAATATAATACAATAAATATTGATAAAAAGCAACATAGTAAAGTCTTTAGGTGTAGGAAAAATAATACTCTATTATTATGATTTTAAAACATATTTCATCCATGGTAAAATTACCATGAAATGTGACTGCATAATATTTTTCATAATATTAATAAAAAAACTGTAACTAACCAGAGTAATGGATAACAGAAACTGTGCATATGAATGCAAGAATAAGTTATATATTTTTATATCACATTGTGTTTATATATTTCTTTATATATATATACTGCATAAGGCAGCAAACGAAATTCCAATTTATCTGATTGTAAGAAATTGGCATGAAAAATGCAATTTAAGCAAAAATATTTTTTTCTAAATTTTGCCCCACACTAGGATTTTCTCCTGTGTCTTGGGTGCATTTACAAACATACAATATCACATGCACATCACACCTAGACCCGAAACAACGATCTGTGGATCACACAAAGAGTTGTTCCGTGCGGGAATCGAACCCGCGACACATTGCGCGACAGCCAGTAGCTTAGTCACCGCGCCAACCGTGTAGTCAAGAATAATCAGAAAATATCATAAAGTATTTTTACAAATGACTTGTTAAGGGGCTGAGATTTAGGAAAGATGGGGGGGATGAATGATAAGGAGTCCAGTAACCTAACTCAAACGGCGAAACAACAACACTGTGTTTGTTTCATGCCAGTTTTCTGAGGCCATCACCCAGTTAAGCCAACTAACTTAGCATGGCCAAACCACACTTTACAAGTTGGTTTTAAAATAAAATTCTAGTAACAAGAATATTGCCTATCATATATGTTATATCAACAAATATATCATGTATGATTTGTATCTACCTAGCTACAAACTGATAAATTTAGTTCAAATAAAATAGCCCTACCCATATTACATTGGTTTTTTATGGATTGAGCAGTTTATAACCATATCTGTCACTTTCCTTTATTATCCTGAAGCCACAGACAATCACAACACCCGACAAGTTATAGCTGTTCCCTGCCTTTGATGGTACAGGAGATGATGGTTGGAGAGAAGATGCTGAATTTTTATGGGCGTGGGCTGCAAATAGAGTAATTGGGCATCTGATACACTATCAGCTCTGGCCATGGACCGTCGCAAAATCATATGGGTAACAAACATTGCCTGCTATCAGGGGTTAGCTTCGAGTGTTTCAGACAGGGATAGACTCTAAACACAACTTAAGATGCTCAATGATTCCCAGCTACTATACTTAGACCACAAGCCTACTTACTTTTGAATGTTCTTCCAATAAACAGTCAAAGATTTATACACATACAAAAACTACAGCACAAAGGTGATGTCTCATAACCTGTACTGATTCAGGTACAGGCAGAATTTATTAAAATAAAAGAGAGAGAAAAACATTTGTTCTGTGTACACTGCATTGCTATTACCTTCTATTACAGAAAATTAAATTTTTCATGTAGATAAAAAGAGACAGCTGTAGTTTAGGCATGTTATCTTCAACATCTCCTTAATAATTGAAATTATGAAATAAAGTATTTCTGCAATTATCTATGACAAAATGTATTTTTTTAATTATGCAGGATAAGGCAAATGTTCATTGATCACTTTGTCTTTAAATGAAACACCGGGCTAAATCTTAAGTTGTAGTATTTTGAATACCTAGGATTATAAATAAGGTGTTAGGCAAAGAAGTGGTCAGCCTAAAACCTTAATATAAAACATTAAATACCATAAACAAGGTGGACAATGATGGTGCAATAATATGTAATGGTGTGAAAAAATTGCACCAAAATATTTTCAAGGTTTCCCAATGACCTTTACAAGAATATAATGTTTGTAAGATAGTTTGGGGTCATTGAGAGAGCAGAGAAACATAATTTATAGGTTAAGTATTGGTAAATTAAGTTTTATCATGAATAACATTGGGTATAAGTTGAGATTTACATACATAAGCATTAGAGGAGTGACTGTATAGTAAAAAGTTCTCACATTCAACCTTTGTAGCAAATACTTATTTGAATTTGAAAACAGAATAATATTACACACGGTATGCAGTCATACACTCAAACCCTGAAAAAGTAACAAGAAGCAAAGACCAACGCACATAAGTCCAAGTGTGAAAAGTTTGCACATAACATGCATAAACATTTTCTTTCTTTCATTTCATGATTCAAGTATAAGAATTGCATCATTAATGTTATGACATTGTTTTGTTTACATAATACCACTCACCTGCCAAGGGTTCACTTTTGGAATTGGAGCTTCAACAAACTTCTTGGGCTGACTTTCTGAAGCTTGTTGCTGCTGCTCTGGTGTTGGCTGAGGCTCAGCGTGCTGAGCGGGCGCCTTGTGAGGACGAGGTGGAGCCCTACGTTCAGGGTGCCTTCGCCCCTTCCCGGGACGGCGTCCGTGCGATATGACGGGCACAAAACCCTCTTCTTCTTCATCATCCTGCTTCGTCGGAGGCGCGTCAGGCACTTCGCCCGGTGCGGCCTCAATGTTTTCCTTATTACTGTCACTCCCTCTAAAGTTCAACACTGACGCGTAAGAGGGCCCTGCGCCCTCGGCGGACACGCGGGCGGCCATGCCGCCGCTGCCCTCGTTATGTAAGTCCGGGCGCGCGCTCCGCGCCAACAGACGATCACGAGCGCGCCTCCATGCCCCTCAACACGACGGCATGATGGGGTTAACCCACTAATCGCGAACGAACTTTCCCGATGAAAACTGGCCGATCGAACAGTGCGAAGGTCGAATAATTCACGATTAACTCACACGTCCCAGTGGCGCGCACACACGGCCGGTCGCTGGGAAATATGCGCGAACCTCTCGTAGCACACCGGACTGACCCTGGTTGGACCGTATTTACATCGAAAAAAATGCACTTCCGTCGTCTTGTTCCAACTTTTCTGGCACACTGAACGATCCGTACGCACTTTATCTATCGATGTCGTGTACCGATCACTATGAAATACGCTTCTATTAACATAAAATCATAACAGAACCATATTTTGTTCACTATTCACACATGTGGTCGGCCGCCCAAAAAGGGATTTTTCCGCAACACACACGGAACTTACGGAAGGCTGTGACTTCTAATTTTACACAGGACAGTTTAACGCTAGAGGGCGCTGAAACATCACTGACAGTGAACGCATTCACAATTAACGAAATAAAAATGCATTTTTTAGGGTAAATATTAAGTTTACTGCTTCTTAAATAGTTACACGTGTAAAATAATAAAATAATACTTTTTTACATATATGTTTTACTGGGTTTTTAATTCAATCGATCAACGAAAAATAACTCAAGCAAAATTTTAATTATGAACGTAGCGTAATATAAAATCACATTTCGGATCTTTGCAAAATGTTTGCAAATCTCCATGCTTTTGTGCAACAATGAAAATTATTTTTATAATAATAAAACTGTATTCGATAATTTGTTTGTAAACAAATTACTAATTTTAATTCATAAAAAATAAATATGCCGCAAAATAAAACAGATCACCATTTAAATATTTATTGTCTATGTTTCATCATTTGATTTCGTTTTGAAATCGATTACTAATCGATCTTAAATCATACATTATAAAACTGCATATTTATTGTAAAAGACTCACATAAAATATGTTAAAATAGAAAAAAAAGATACATTTACAGTTCATTTTAATTTACTGATACACACTTTCCGGATTTGTCGGACAATACATTCCCAAAAAACTTCTACAATTTCTGCAATAATGATAAACATCTTTACATGACTTCAAAATATAAGGCAAGGGGGCACAAATCCAGCAGCACAGCAAGCATAGAATAAATGCACATAAATGCGTGCATATGGTAATTCGACTTGTTACTACAGTCATGCCAGTGTAACCACATTCGGGGCAAACCATTGGCATTGATGTGAACCCAAAAGTATACACCCTCGCTGGCGGCGGAGGCAGAGCAGGTTCTATGTAAACATCAAATGCTGTGGTATAAGTAGGAGGCGGAGTATGTTGAACGAAAGAAGGTGATGGGAAAAAGGTTCCCATGAACCGCGGCCTCCTCCGTATGGCCATTTGCCTCAGCACAAACGAATAAGACGGTGGTGCACTCGTCAAAGAGTCCGGAGGAGTTATTTCTCCGGAATCTAAGTCAAGATTTAAAACTCTACTACCATTTGTTGCCGGTTGAAGGTTTTTCAAATGACTTAGGATAGACAGAGTCAACGAACTTTGCTTAAGTTTTGACAGCGCTTGTAAAAATAAGGTCTGCGGTTGAGTGGTTACTGTAACCGAAGCTGGTAATGGTATTTGGGACATGTGAGGCTGCGTTGTAATCGGACTTTGATTTGACGATCGAATTATTAGAGGCCCATATGAACTTAGGTACGAATTATTTCTGCTATACAGAATAGATGTTGATGCAACTCTTGCAATGCAGTAAGGTATTCCTGTCTCCGTGATAATAGGAGATCTGCGCCCTGAACTGTTTCTGTTTTCTAATGTCATAGTTTGTTGAGTGCTTACTACGGCTTGGTATTTCGGTAAACTCAGTTGATCTTTTATAATCTCCGATTCGCCGTCCGGTACTGGCGTGGATGTTTTTATTCTTGCTCTCTGTACCTTTGGTGAATGTGATTCTTCTTCTGTCGTTTCTATTTGAGATGGATTCGGTTGATTTTGTGATACAGCCGGCTGCTCCTTCATAACACTTGAAGGGATTTCATTTATTGTACATTTTGTTTGGTCAATTGTAAAAGCACTTTGAAGAAGTGTTGTTGTTTGAGCTTTTGAATTTGTTGGTTGTTCATCTTCTAAACTTTTTTCTGATCTTTTGGGCTGTATATCGCGACTGCATTCCGGTTTTTCGTCCATTTGAAATGTGAAAAGAAATATTGAATATTTTCTTTCTTTTTATGTGTCGATAAATGCTGTATTAAAGTTACAGGGCCAAAGGTTTGCTGGGTTTTAAGGCGTATATTCATTTGATACCTTCAGATGTTCTTCTTATTTTCCAAATAGGCGCTAGGACACCAAGTTCTATACTAAAAGTTCAACCTCTAGAAAAAAGAAAGACACAACTCTGAAAATCACAGACAGAATAGAATAATTTGGAGAATCGAATAGGTAGTTATATTTATTTGCATCAACCATCAGGCATAAACAAAGCATATAATGTTTGATACCTGGTCATAATTATGAAGGTTATTGTTGTAAATTATGCAATATTTAATTATGTATTTAAAGTTGGTCCTTAACGTGACAAATTCAGTTTGTAATTCCGCTGGAATTCGAAATAGCTTTTGTGTAACTTTTGAATAATTTCAGTTAATCATTTGGATAATATATTTGAAAATATTTGTAAATATTTTGGTGTCAACCAAAGTGTCACTCGTTTATCTGTTTCAGTTTTGAAATTATCATTTAATCAAATCAAATGACTTGATTTGATAAATAATTAGTATCAATAACTTTAGTATGGTGATTGCTTTAACAGATTTTAGAAATTAAACATTGTTATTTTTTTATTTAGCTGTAGTTAATTTAGTAATATTTTTATAACATTTTAGTAACCATAAACTTTATTTCGAATCACAATTTAATTTTTTGATCTGGTCACTGCCTTTTCATAATGTCAAAAAACTATTATAATTTCCGGTCTTTTTACTCCTCCGTGGCATGGCGGATGGTCTTTACCGCCGCCTATAGTGTTTATTGGAGGAATTTCTTCGCTGATATAGCGAAATGGTAAGTTTAATACAAACAAATGTGATAATAAAACGTTTTAAAATATAAAGTGAAACAATCGGATGAAGTGAAAGTGTGTTCTTACATGTAATTCTCACCATGGTCCAAACACGTGTTTGCGTATGCTTTTTGTACTGTAGGAGGAATATGATGGTGTTCTGTAAGTTACTTTAATAATTTAGCCTTTCAATGGCAGGAAAAACAGATTTATTGCTTAGTTCTACATTTCAAATCGTTTTACTATGAGAATTGTTGTCGATGTTCGCATCACGCTGCTATTGCATCTCTTGTTTATTTTTGCATGAAACATCTGAAAATCTGGATAGTTCGATCCTGTATCACATCTCCAATATGCATTTACTTAGAATTGCACCATACATCGCAATTATTTAAACTTTTTCATGTTTCTAGAGTGCGTGGTTTTGAGGTTATGATCGTTCGCGAGTGAATGGTTTAAGCCGGAAATATAGTCGTTTCAATAGAAAAACAACCTCAAAATATATTGAAAAGGCTTTATAATTCACTATTTGCCTGTTTATTTCATTAATATGTCCTCCTAAGTGCATCTAATACGTATCATCAAGGCAAACATATTTCCGGTTGTTTTTTATAAGCACTGTGATGGTTGATTTCCCCTATACTCTTCCTGGTTGAACTTAAATAGTCTTCCAGGTACAATTTTAAGGGGTATAGCAAAGTAGCTCCCGTAGGAAACATGGCAGATTTATATATTTGTTGTGTGTCGACTTGTGGAGCACATTCCATTATAATTATCGAACGTTTTCTACTGTTGGGGGTGGCCTATGTTCGAAATTAGAAGTCAATGGCTGTAATAATGTCGTATATAAGCCTTGAGGTGTACATTTTGTGTATCAAGTACACATTAAAAAGCTTAGTAACATCATTCTTCACCAATCACATATCACCAAGTGTAAAAGGCCTAAGGCTACCTACTGACCAAAAATTGGCCCTAGGGCGGATTTAATTAAAATATTTGGTAACCTCAAGGGTGACTTATGTTTTTGAAAATGATTGTAATCAATCGTTAATTGGCTGACTTTAAGTTTAAGTAATTATTATTTATTTCACTGAAGTCCATAAAGATATTAAAATTTTATTGACAGTCCAATCTCATGGTCCATCCTCCAATACTCTTAGAAAAACAGTTGTAAGGTTTAGACAATCTTATATAGGAGACTAGGTTGCAATTAAAGAAAAAAGAAACAATCAGCTGCATGTGTAAACAAGAAAAACTTTTATTTATTTCTACTTCTGGTACTAGATGCTAACCATCATTCCATTCCCTTTCAGAGTCTATCAGTTGCCCGACCGCTCGTGTCGGTATACACGGAGAAGAGCGAGGTTGTCCCTGACGCCTCCCTCCCCCTCCCATTCGTGTTCAAGGCCCCCATCAGGCCTGACCTCGTCAATGATGTGCACGTCTCCATGTCCAAGAATGCCAGACAGCCTTACTCTGTGAGCAAGGAGGCCGGTGAGTTGAAAATTTTAATTATTCAACTTATACAGAAATTTTTCCATGTCTAGGTTTGGAAAAATTGTTATCATCTTTCAGTGGGGCATCAATTAAGATTGACTGTCTGTCTACCAAGCTAGGAGTTTCAGATTTGTATTTCTATTCCAATTGACATGTTTGTGCCAAAGATGTTTGCAGTAGAGCGAGACTAGTATCTTGTCAACAATGAAACATTTTCTTTCATTTAAGTTACTTTCTCGTAGTTCATAACTCTAGCTATAGGGATGTAACATGTTACCTGACCGATTTTTATCACACACATTACACAAACAATTGCTTTTTGTGTCATGGTCATCCTAAGATGGTAAGCAATTGGAGCTACAAGAAGATGATACCGGTCTTTTGGTGGGAGCATATAGGAATTTGGGAATTGAATATGGGTGGAGGGGAGGGATTGTACCTCCGATAACCTTATTTACTTGGTTATATACAATGACAGTGTTGTTTAAAGACAGTATTAAGAGATTCTCGCATAACAATTTTGAAATCAAACTTTCGATTATTATCTTGACATATTGCACATAAGTCCACACTCTCAGTGTGTATTGCTGCGGAGTGTTACTGCGATTCGTGCAACATTAATGTGAAGACAAGGCGTTCCGGATCCACTCCATAGTGGGGACGGGTGCATAGTTTTTACTACATACAATTTATTATATACAGGTTTTGTCATTAGAAAACAACATTGATTATCAGTGTGTATATAAATTATTCATAATATGAGCATACAAGTTTTTGATTGACTTGAGTTGGTGAGAATTAATCTTAAGATCCTTGTCATAACATTAATTCTCAGGTCAAGCTGTTCTAGTATAAAACTTAAGTAGTTCCTCT